GGTAGTGAAGGGCGGGGTATAAATCCAATCTCTTCTTCTTCTTCTTTTACCTCACAGGGTGTCTGTTGTGGGGAGGGGAAGGGAAAGGAGTTTGTAAGCCGCTCTGAGACTCCCTTGGGTAGTGAAGGGCGGGGTATAAATCCAATCTCTTCTTCTTCTTCTTTTACCTCCCAGGGTGTCTGTTATGAGGAGGGAAAGGGAAAGGAGTTTGTAAGCCGCTCTGAGACACCTTTGGGTAGTGAAGGGCGGGGTATAAATCCAATCTCTTCTTCTTCTTCTTTTACCTCCCAGGGTGTCTGTTGTGGGGAGGGGAAGGGAAAGGAGTTTGTAAGCCGCTCTGAGACTCCCTTGGGTAGTGAAGGGCGGGGTATAAATCCAATCTCTTCTTCTTCTTCTTTTACCTCCCAGGGTGTCTGTTGTGGGGAGGGGAAGGGAAAGGAGTTTGTAAGCCGCTCTGAGACACCTTTGGGTAGTGAAGGGCGGGGTATAAGTCCAATCTCTCCTCCTCCAACATTCCAGGAACATTTTGTAGCACTTTGAAGGAGCTATATTGACCCCCCCCCTCTTCCCTGCCTGCAGGATGATGCTGCCCGTGACCAAGTGGTTGTGGAATCACGAATTTTGGTTTCCTCCGGGACTCACCTGGGAGGACATGAAAGACACCGACGAGGTCCACTACCCTCACCCCCATCATCTCCTCCTCTGCATCCCTTTGGCTTTCCTCCTCATCGTCGTGCAGCTGGTCGTTGAAAGGCAAGTGACTTCCTCTTGTGAGCATCCCAGCGCGGCGAGTGTTCCTTGCTTCAAAGGGGGCCTCCTTTCGGACAGCGTGTCCTGTGCTGTCTTGACAAAAGCGGAGGGGAACTGTTCAAATGGAAAACAGTGGTCAAATCTGCATTTGTCTTTCCCACCGGTGTCCCAGCTTTCTGACTCCGTCTTCAAAAAAGCTGTCCACATTTGGTGTCGTTTTCCCACCTCAACAGTGCTAGCATACTCTTGCACATCCGCATATGTTTATCGCCCTTTCGTGGCGGCCCTGCTGTCATTGCGCCTCCCCACTGCTTTAAAAGAATCTTCTCCAAACAACGTTCAAACAAGCACAGGGAAAGACAGAGTCACAGCAGCACGAAACCGATTTAAAAATGCAAATGCAGATTCAACCAAGTGTCCCAAACAGACCTCTCCGGTTTTGCCTTGGAAGTCTCATTGCTTCCAGGGGGGTGTCGGGTTTTGCGTCACCGACTCTAATAACCTTATGGTCTCTAAAGGGAAGATATTCCTATCTCTTGCTGTGCTCAAAACCGTCCTCACTGGCTCCCTAGAAGGGTTTCAAAGAATAAGCCACCGTGTTAAGTCCAAAGGGGGAAGCGAGGGTTGACAAGGAGTTGCTAGACACAGCAGTGACTGGATGTGAAGGCTCGCTGGGTTGACCGATTGTTGTTCTGTTCCATCAGTTTTCCCCTTGCAAGGCAGCTCTGTGCAGTACTTTGATCTGAATTGACAATATTAATAGAGAGATACGTCTCTAGTGAGGGAGGGACAGAAAGAGGATAGTCCTGTTCAGCCTAAGGAGTGTGTGTGTGTGGGGGGCGCAATTGGTAAAGGCCTGGCTAAGTATTATGTAAATAATATGTATATTCGTTTGGAAGTTTTGAGCCACCTTTGCTACACAGTGGGTGGCTCACAAATAATGGGATCCTACTTCTTGCTGTAACAAAACCTCACTCTGGCCTCGGTCACACGGGCCAGGTAACGCGCGTGTGTGTGGGGGAAGCGTGGCTGTTTGCCCTGGAGCAAAATAAAGTGTGGTAGCCTGATCACACGGTTCCCCGAGGCTTCGCGCTTAGGCTGTTAGCTGGTGATCACACAGCGATGCTGGAACGTGGCAAAGAAGCAGCGCGGCAAGCATTTCACGTTTGTGCACATGCGCAGGTCCGCGGAGCAGCACTGCTTTCAGTTACGTGTTTGTGTGCATGCGTTTACGGAAAACATCCAGTTTGTGATGATATGTGGACAGGCGCCGGATGCCATGGGATACTAGCGCTCCCGCAATCAGACGCCCACCCCTGCCCCGCTTTTTCCGGATGCTAGTGCACTTTCCAAGGTAGTTTTTTACTGCGCACCTTCGGTGGGACGCCACGGGTTGGCCATGAGTGTGCTACGCTTCCCAGATTTTATGGTGTGATCGCACACTGAAAATCCACCTGACATTCATGTCTTTAGCGCGGCAACTTCTCCATGTGAACGGGGCCTCTGTTGTTTTCCCCTACCTTTGAACACAGAGGTTCCATTTAGTCCTAGTGACTAGTAGCCATTGATAGGGTTGTCATCCATGGAGTTGACTAATCCCCTTTGAACATTACGCTATAAATGAAGAATTGTCCTGAACGTACTGCCCATCAATGTCATTGGGTGTCCATGAGTTCTAGGATTATGAGAGGGGGAGAAAGAGCTCACTCTCTTCACTTTTTGCACCTGATGCATAATTATATAAATTTCCTGTACGCCCCCCCATCTTTTCTGTAACTTGAAAAGCCCCGAATGCTTTAGCCTTTCATCATATGCAGTTAGGTTGGAGCAGCTTCCCTAACACTAAAACTCAGGGGTGCCCAACGAAGTTGATGGGCTGTAGATTCAGGATTGACAAAATTAAGTGAGCCAAGGTAAATCATTCATTAGTAAGTAATTACATTGTGGAATTCACTAGAAGCTGATTTCGTGAGGGCCATGAACACAGAGAGACGTCAAAGGGGCTTAGACAGGTTCATCAGTGGCCACTAGTCATAGTAACCAAAGGGAACTTCCACATTCAGAGGCAGTATACCTCAGAATCCCTGAGCCAGGAGGTGACATCAGGGGAAGGACTCTTAAAATGAATAATTAAAGTTTGGGGAAGGGGGAAAAGAAAAGTCACTATGGGACTGTAACCTGGGGGCATGATAAAATTTCGATAAAAATTCGAAAATCCGAGGAAGGATTGAAGTTGCCTCCTAGTGCAAGGGACTTCCCACCCCAGGACATCCCGCACTTTTGCCGGATCAATTTCTAACCCCCTAGGGGATATGCGGTAACCCAAAAAGTCTGTTTCCCTTTTGTGGAACTCACATCTGGACAGCTTGGCAAACAGCTTATGCTTGTACAAAGTCTGAAGTACTTCCCTCTCCAACTTAATGTGTGACTGTTCATCTGGGGAATACAGTAACACATCATCCAAATAAACAAGGCCCCCCCCTGAACAGGTGCTTGTTTAAAACTTCATTGATCGGGTTCATGAACACTCCTGGTGCTCCCTGGAGGCCAAACGGCATGACCCGATACTCAAACTGCCCCAGCGGGGTATTAAAAGCAGTCTTATATTCATCCCCCTCCCTTATGCGCACCCAGAAGTACGCATCCCTCAAATCCAGTTTGGAAAAGATTTTCCCTTTCACCACCTCAGCCAGTAGATCCTTTATTAGGGGGAGGGGGTAAGCGTTTCTGGTCGAGACTGCATTCAGTCCTCTGTAATCTGTGCAAAGGTGGAGACCACCGTCCTTCTTTTTCCTGAAAAACACGGGAATGGCAAACGGGGAAGGTTTTTTATCAATAAACCTCCTCAGTTCTTCCTTCTTGGTGGGGCTCATAGCATAGAGTTTGCCCTTTGGTAACTTATGCCCGGGTAGCAACTCAATGGCACAATCTGTATTGCGGTGCGGGGGCAACTCGTCAGCCTCCTCTTCCTCAAATACCCTGGCCAAGTCTCGATAGACTGAGGGAATGGCTTGTAGCTCCTCCCTCGCCAGGCACACCCGTAATGGCTCGTCCGGATGGGTAGGACCCCAAGCGGGATCCCAGCCATGATCCTGGCACTTGGGGGAGATGAAACGCACCCTCCCTTCATCCCACAAGATATATGGGTCATGGTCATGCAACCAGGGGCTTCCCAGCACCAGCGGGAACCTCGCAGCAGGGGTAATAAAAATGGTCAGTGCTCCCAATGTTCCCTAGCTCCCATTTGCAATGGGCCAGTCTGGTATTTACACGGCTCTTTCATAGAAGAGCCGTCCATCTGAGTGAATACTATAGGGTCTGACAACTTTTCCACTGTGGACCCCAACCCCATTACCAGGGAGGGGTTTATGAAGTTTCTGGCACACCCCGAGTCAATAAGAGCTCTTACACGTACATGAGTGCCCAATTCTTGATTCATCACAGTCACCGTAACGAAGGGGGGGGGATTGCTCACCGTGTGTGGCGTGGGGTGTGTGTGTTGGACCTGCTGCTCAGTGCCACTTGCAGCAGGTCCTGGCCTTTTCCCGCCACCTCGTCCTCCTCACTGCTGGTGGAGCTGGAACATTCTTCCATGACTCCAAACTGGAGAGCCTGTTGCACTTTGGCTTTCACGGTCCCTTTCTTGAATGGAGTATCAGGCTTCTTCCTCCCCGCATCCTTAGCCAGAACAGACCCTCCCACGGCCCCAGGGTAGTCGACGGTGAAATGCCCCGCCTCTCCACAATGGAGGCACAAGCCTTGCTTCATGCGCATCTCTCGGGTGCCATCCTTCGGTTTTGGGGGCTTCGGCTTCACTCCCGTGGACCCCATCCGGAGTGCCTGGGCAGGCCCGTCTATCGTGATCTTCTGGAGCTGGGCTTCTGCATCTGCAGCCTCCTGCACCCATGCGTTGAAGGAAATGGGACGCACACTCCGAAGGATAGTCTCGCGAATTTCTAGGTGGAGCCCCGCCTGATATTGTTCTCCATCTGGCCAACCTTGCACCTTAGCCGTATACCTTTCAAACTCCTCTGTGAACTCTCGAACCATGCATCTGCCTTGCTTCAGGGTGTGCAGGTGATTTTGGGTGCGCTCGCTTTCCAGCAGGTCTTCATACTTTACTCCAAGGGCCCACATGAACGCAGCCACTTCTTGTAGCTCGCATTGTGGAAACTCATGTACCAGTCTACACCCCCCCCCCGAGCTCTGCCGCTATGTAGTCCACTCTTCTGGCATCGGTGGGGAACAGGTGGCCCTAAGTTTGGATGAACTTCTCCACCTGCACCACAAAAAAGGCCAGTTTCTCGGGGGTGCCACCAAACTCGGCATCAAGCTGCCCCTTGGGTAGAATTTCTGGCATCCTAGGCCCCGGAGCTGGAGCCACTGGTACTGGAGCCGGAACCGGGTCTGGTACTGGGGGTGGTGACGATGGGACCTGTGGCTGCTGCTGCTGTTTCAAGCTCATCTCAGTTTGCACCAACTGCGCGACTGTGCCTGGAATTCCCATCAGGGCATCTTCCACCACTTGGACCAGCCGGTCCTGGGCTCATTCGATTCGGGTGAGGCATTCCTCCCAACCTTTTTTTTTTTAAAAAAATATATAATCTATTTATTAAGTTTTTAGACAAACAGACAAAAAAAAAAAAAGGACATATAATTATATGTCCAACCCTTTTTCTCTTCCTTGCGCCGAGTACGTGCCCCCGTCTCTTGGGGTGGTTGGTACTCATAATGGCTTCCCCTTGCCGGGCCAGGAGTCAATGTCTAACCCTAACCCTAACCCTAACTCTTGGGTGGTCGTATTGAACGTGGACCACTCAAACCCCTTGGGTTCCGCCCAGCTCTGACTGAAGAGTCCTCGTTCTGCTCCCAGACCCAAGGAGACGGGCACCGGCAGGGGCAGCGTTGTTGTAGGAACCGTGGTCACCGGTGTGGTGGTGGTGACCGGTGTGGTGGTTACCGGCACGTCTGGTTCCTTTGCTGTCAGCTGTTCCTCTTCTTCA